AAAAGGGGCAGGCGTGGTGGCTCACACCTGTAATGCCAGCACTTTGGGAGGATGAGGTGGGCGGATCATGAGGTCAGGAGATGGAGACCATCCTGGCTAACACGGTGAAACCCTGTCTCTACTAAAAATACAAAAAACTAGCTGGGCGTGGTGGCGGGTGCCAGTAGTCCCAGCTACTCGGGAGGCTGAGGCAGGAGAATGGTGTGAGCCCGGGAGGCGGAGCTTGCAGTGAGCCGAGATCGCGCCACTGCTCTCCAGCCCAGGGAACAGAGGGAGGCTCTGTATCAAAAAAATAATAATAATAAAAAGAAGTAGAATATCAATGGCAGACTTTTTCAATTGTGTAGCTCCAGTTGATTTCTTCTTATTTCCATTTCTCAAGAGTTTTAATATCCATGCTTATTTTTATTTATCTGAGACAGAGTCTCACTCTGTCACCCAGGCTGGAGTGCAGTGGTGTGATCTCAGCTCACTGCGACCTCCACCTCCCAGGTTCAAGCAGTTCTCCTGCCTTGGCCTCCCGAGTAGCTGGGATTACAGGCACCCACCACGACGCCCAGCTAACTTGTTGTATTTTTAGTAGAGAAAAGGTTTCTCCATGTCAGCCAGGCTGGTCTTGAACTCCTGACCTCAAGTGATCCACCCACCTCCTCCCAAAGTGATGGGATTACAAACGTGAGCCACCACGCCCTGGCTCATGCTTATTTTTAAAAAGGCATTACTTCCATGACATAAGAAGGGTGAGAGTTTAAAAAGCAAACACTATGAAATTAGCCAGCAAAGTGTCTAGGCTTATGGCTACTATGTGAGTGATTTGGTCTATCTGTGGTACAGTGGACTAACGCCTCACAGTCTCGGGCTCACTAAATCATACGAATGTACTTGTTAACTCCTTCTGCAGAGCATTGTCTTTTTAACCCATGAAAGAACTGAGATCCAAAAAAACAAGTGATGCATCAGAATCAAAATATGGATACCTGGGTCCCACCCCCAGTCTCCTCTGTTTGGGTCCTAGAAGGCCGGATCTGGGCATGTGAGTTTTTAAAACCCTGACATGTGAATCTAACGTAGAAATCTGATTAAAACTATTTTCTTCTAGATAAAAATGATAAATAGCAGGCCAGGCACAGTGGCTCACGCCTACAATCCCAGCACTTTGGGAGGTTGAGGTAGCCGGTCACCTAAGGTCAGGAGTTCGAGACCAGCCTGGCCAACATGGTGAAGCCCCATCTCTACTAAAAATAAAAAAATAGCCAGATGTGGTGGCAGGAGCCTATAATCCCAGGTACTCAGGAGGCTGAGGCAGGAGAAGCGCTTTAACCTGGGAGGCGGAGCTTGCAGTGAGCCGAGATCGCGCCATTGCACCCCAGCCTGGGCGACAGAGCGAGACTCCATCTCAAAAAAAAAAAAAAAAGATAAATAGCTGGCCTTCATTTAGATCCGCTGTATATTAAGAACTGTAACTGGCTATCAGAATAACCTTGGACTTTCTCTTATTTGATCTTCAACAATTCAGACAGATGTCACCACTTTACAGATAGCCAGGTTGTGCCTGGCCTATGTTATACCAAGAGCTGAAATTTTAACTCAATCAGGTCCGACTCCATGATGTGTGTTCTTTCTACTATACCTCATTTGCCTAATATGGAACAGAACGGAAATTAAAGAAGTAACGAGGCCAGCCCTGTGACCGACCACCTATTCCACATCTGGGCACACACTTAGTATTCCGAATGATTGCAGCAAGCATCAACAAAGCCAGGCCTTCAGTGCATGCACTATTAGTAGGGACGCAAGCAGGCAGGGTTAGGGTGGCCGGTTAGTAACAGGCGTGAGTGCACAAATATGATCATCAAGTAGCAAAAATGCAATGGCCAATCAGGTGCCTTTTCCTTACCATTAAATATTCCAATCTCAGTTCTTACTGAATATGGCAGGTCATACATCTAAATTATTTAATAAAACGTTTAAATTAGAATACTCTTAGCTAAAATCGATTACTTCAAAAGTAGCAAGATGTAAACTCTTTTCCATGGGAATTAAAACTCTTACTGCTCTCTAGAGTCACAATTAACAGGAGACTCAAAATGACGCCAGAATCCCGGCATCCTCCAGTGCTGGTGCTGAGCTGTGAGAAGTTGGCTGCCAAACCTGCTTGGCAACAATAATCTCCCCCAAGAGTTTATATTAATCCCATGAGCCTTAACCCAACTCTTTAAAACTCTAACTTAATCCAATTCTAAAGGAATAACCTGTTTTCAGGAATTTGTCCATCTAAAGTTTTCTAAGTGAAAACATTATGTCACAATCAAGGACCATCCTGTCCAAGGAAGTTATATTTTTTTCCTCCTTGAAAAAACCTAACGGTTATATCCAAGAATGGTTAACAGCAGTATGATCAACACTAGCAGATTCAAAAATTCTAAATGTTGGCCTTCTGTGTACTTTCAATGGCAGGCCAGGGGATTTTAAGATAGTACAGGTTAATTCTGTAATATAAAGATAACTGTGGTGACCTGGAATTTCTTGAGTTAGGAGAATTCATAGCATAGATTGGTTTTTAAATAGCTAATATCTTAGGGAAACATACTTTTAATGTAAAATTCACTTATCTAATAATTACAGCAGCACATTACAGTGTTGTAGCAGATCAATAAAGTGAACTTCTGGAATAAATATACCCCAGGTAACAATGGTATTAAAGAATAGGCATACTTCTGGTTTGGAATCTTTCATTTAAAAAGAAGGAAATATCTGAGAATAACATTTTGGTGTGTCACAAGCATGAAACTGTGGAATCGCGCCTGGGCCTCCTCCCTGTTTTGAAGGCTACGCTCTGGTTTTCCACTTCCGGTTCCTACAGAAAGTCTTACTCAGACCTAAGCTGTGAGCACTCCGGCTAAGGGCCCCACAGTAGGCGTAAGGCTCAGGTCAGCTGACTAAAGCAGCTGTACACATAATGAGGGCCTTATGCTGTCCACATGGAGACCCAGCGGCAGACTTGGATGAGCTCACAGTGCCTTTTAAAAAGTTCATATGGTTTAATAAAGCAAAATGGAAGCATGCTAGAATGCAAAGGAATTTAAAAGAATTCTGTGTAGGGTATTTGGGGGAAGATTTTTTTAATTTTTTGGCCTTGAGAATTTAAAATATCAAATTAAGAAGCTCCATGCAGTTAATTTGCACTTAAGATACAAAAATTTAAAATTAAAGCTCAAGACACAAAGGACACAATTTCCTCCCGTGCTGATGGCGCCCGGGTCCTCTTTGGTTGGATGCTGGTGAGCCCATCAGTGACAGGTAGGTCACACTGGGAAGAGCAGACTGCTGGTAAGAGGCTCACCAAAAAGACAAAAGATATATATATATATATATATATTTTTTTTTAAAGAGACAGGGTCTCACTCTGTCATGCAGACTGGAATGCAGCCAGCAGTGACACAATCACTACCACTGCAGTCTCGAACTCCTGGGCTCAAGCAATCCTCCTGCCTCAGCCACTCAAAGTACTGGGACTACAGGCACCAGCCACTGTGCCTGGCCCCTAAGAAAGAAGATACTCTTCAAGAGCAGCTTAAAATCAGGCTCTTGATCTACTGACATCTACTCCTTGAATTTGAAGCACTGCAGCTCAAAGTGCTTCTGATAAAAATAAAGAAAAGTCTATATGCTACAGAAGGGATGGCCCATTGGCTGTCAGGGCACAGGGTCTACAGGTTGCTCCTGAGCACACAGTCAAAAGCACATATGCACAACATGGCTACGCACGAGCATGTGGAGCTGTGGGGCAAGCTGCTCGGGCCGTTACAGACCTTAGTCCTGGATACCTTCCCCACCTGTGAGGGCACCAGGAAGGGCATCTATTGGGAAACAAACAAACAAACCAACATGGCTGTGTTGTTTTCAAAATAAAAGCTCTGATGTCATCAGAAAAAAAGTTAATAACCATTTATAACATGTGCAAATTATGTATTAAATTCCTGAAAAAAGTTATTAAAAGATATTGTTAGAATCAGTTAGCCGTCACCCTTTGGATTAATGGAAACCTTCGGCACATGTTTAGCTGCAAAGTCACTCAATATGGCTGGAAAGCCCAGAGGTATACTTCAGCTTCTTTTCCAAAAGTGCCTCCACTTAGAACAATTTAAACTGGGCTGCTGTAAGAAATTATTTGAGGCCCCTAATTACCATTTTTTAAAACACAGTAGAAAACCCCATAGCCATCCTTAAATAAAATAATAAATTAGAGCATTTGGGATGGATACATTTTTGAAATCTTAAATAAAATGGTCATGTTCTAGACTATTAAAAATATGCCATTAGGTAGTCCACTAAAACCTGTACAATCACCACCACTTCAAAACAGGTTCCCACTGGGTCTCTGGGAAACTCTTCACTCTTCCCTCCCAAGCCATTAGAGGCCAGCACTCTGATATGACTGTACCCTGAGATCTCCCTTTTGGAGCATTCGATTTGGCATAAATCATGTTTTTTAAAGTTATACCTGAAATTCTGTACTTAATATGAACATTTTTACTCTTAAAAGTACTTGGAAGTACTGTTTAAGCATTTTAATGAGGAATTCACTAAGAAAGTTCATGCTCGTGTTGTAAAATACCTTCCACCTGGATTAAAACTCATTATGTTTGGAAAAATGTAAATGTACATAGGTCTTAAACACACAAGCAACTGTAAGTCAGGGGCTGGCAAACTTAAAGGACCAGGTAGTAAATGTTTCCAACTTTGTGGGCCATATGATCTCTGGCCACGACGATCCAACTCCGCTGTTTTAGCACCAATGCAGGCACAGACAATATGTTAACAAATGGCTGTAGCTGTGTTCCAATAAAACTTTAATGACAAAAACTGGCTGCAGGACAGGTTTGGCTTGCAGGTGCAGTTTGCTGACGCCTGGTATAAATCAAAGCTTAAATAAAATGGAGTAGTACAAAAGCAATGTAGAGCAGACAGGGAAACATGGACATTGATGTCCTACTTACCCGTTACTATCTTGGAAGCTGTCGGTGCTGCGTTGGTGAGGCTGCTGTCCCCAGCTGAGTGGACACCAGGAGGATGGGGGGGTGGGGGCACGCTGGGCCGGTTCCTTGGCTTTGGTACTGGTCTCGGTCTCGGTAAGGTTCCAGCATGTGGCTGTGCAGTCTCAAGGTTACCCCCCGTCAGGGTCTGAGGAGCTGGCAGGCTGGGGTTCTGTTTTCCTAGGGGCGGAGTACTGGGGGGCGTTGGAGTTTGGGGAGGGGTGTGAGATGGCTGCTCAAGTCCATGCTCACTGGGCAATGCCATGGGGTTGGGAGGGCCCTGGCTATTGGGCTTGGTGTGCATCAGCGGCGTGGCCTGCGTAGGGGGCTGTGGTGGCGGGTGATTGGGAGCTTGGATTGGAGACAGGCTGCTGGAGTACCTCCGGGGTGCTGAAAGCTGGGAGGGGGCGGAGGGCTGGCCTGGAGGCTGGCCCGTGTGCTGAGTGGGAGGAGAGGGGCTTCGGGTGGGTGGCTTTGGTGACAGACTGGGTGGATGCTGAGATGTTCCTGAAGAACTCTGGCCCCCGGGGTGGCCAGGAGGTGGGTTGCCTGGTTTCGGGGGTGCTGGAGCAGGTTTCTTAACGGCTACACAAAGAGAGAAAAAACACTTTTCAGCAGGAACAGTGAGGCAGCAACCACCACCACCACCCTGGCCAGCAGCCCAAATTTAACCCCGCCAGTAATAAACCACAGCACCACGTGCCTCTGATGAGAGGTGGTCAGGAGGGCACCACACTGTGTCTTCCTCCCCAAAACCCATAACCCTAGTCTAACCATCAGAAGAACATCTGACAAACACAAATTGAAGGCCTTTCTTCAAAAGGCCTGACCAGTACTCTCCAAAACCGTCAAAGCCATAGAAAAGCACAGAAAGACGGAGAACGTGTCACAGACCGAAGGAGACTAAGAAGATACGATGACTACATGCAATGTGGGCTCCTGGATGAGATCCTGGGACAGAAAATGGACATGAGTGGAAAAATTAGGGAAATCTGAATAAAATGTGGATGGAGTCTAGTTAATGGTAATGAAGCGCGAGGTGCAGTGGCTCACGCCTGTAATCTCAGCACTCTGGGAGGCCAAAGCAGGCAGATCATTTTAGCGCAGGAGTTCAAGGCCAGCCTGGGCAACGCGCCAAAACTCCATCTCTACAAAAAATAAAAAAATTAGCTGGGAGTGGTGGTGTGCGCCTGTAATCCCAGCTACTCATGAGGCTGAGGTGGGAGGATCACGTGAGCCCGGGAAATCCAAGGCTGCAGTGAGCTGTAATCACATCACTGAACTCCAGCCTGGGCAACAGAGCGAGACCATTAAAAAAATAAAAAAAAAAAAAAAGGCGGGGGCGGGGTGGGGGGACTGGCCCAATGTTGATTTCTGAGCTGGGGTGAAGGTACCATGGTCATGTAACACATTAACAACAGGGGAAACTGAGTAAGGCGCATACAGGAACTCTCAGCATTATCTTTGCAACTTTTCTATTCAAAATTACTCCAAACTAACAAGTTTATTTTAAAAATTAAGTACCTTCTGCACGTTTGAAAGGGCTTTAAAGGTCTAATGTTTTGAAAATTCAACAAGAAGAAAACTGTTAACAGAGGCCACCCGAATAACACGGAAGTGCTGCCCTCAGCCCGCTTAGCAGCCTCCTCGTTAGGTCCCCATGGGAAGACACAGAAAGAGGCAAGAACAGCCAGGAGGGACCACAAAGCAGGACTGGTTCACCCGACGTAACATGACCCCTGACCCCACGCCACCTTCTCCTCGAGAGCTTGATTGGTTTGACTGGTCTTAATAACAGAACTTCTACCAATTCCGGAAGCATTGGAGTTAACAGATATGTCCTGGACAAAAGCATGAATAAATGTGGAAGAGTTGCCTTAGAATTATTTCTCTAAAGAGAGCTGAATCACATCACTCTCCTCCCTATACCAGCTGAGATCAGGGATGGGAACCTGGTACTGAGGAGGGCAGGAGGAAAACGACAGATCTGAGGCTCTGGTTTTGGGCTGGGAGGGGTAGGGGGAAAGGAGAGACTTTAGCCTTTTTCAAACTCTGCTAAGATCCTACTGGTTCCCCAAGAAAAAAGAGAAGGAAATGAAGGAAAGAAATGAACATGTATCACTGTTCACATATCACCAGTACCAAGTAAGGCCTTTTACATAAATTATGCACACTATAATTCATATAAATTATCTCATTCAAGTCTCATAAGCTCATTGCAGGGCAAGCTCTGTAATCGCCATTTTCACAGAGAAGAAAACTGAGGTTTTTGGTAACAGGCCACACAGCTAGTAAGGGGCAGAGCAGAGACTCCTGCCTGTGACATGTGGACTCCCTGAATGCTTTTTCCTCTATTCCTCAGCTGCCTGTTCACAGGTCCCAGAATTCAGGATTAAAAAGGGTGAAGTCTCGGTGGCTCATGCCTGCAATCCCAGCACTCTGACTGGCTGAGGCAGGAAGATCACTCAAGACCAGCCTGGGCAACACAGTGAGATCCTGACTCCACAAACAAACAAACAAAGCGGCCAGGCATGGTGGCATGTGCTTGTAGTACCAGCACTTTGAGAGGCCAAAGTGGGAGGATCACTTGAGTCCAGTGGCTGAAGGTCGCAGTGAGCTATTATCACGCCACTGTATTCCAGCATGGGTGAGAGAATAAGACCCTGCCTCTAAAAAACATAAGAAAGGAAAAAGAAAGAAAGAAAAAATAAAGTGTACTCTGCTACACTGGTCTGGAACTTCCAACCCTGGAACTCAGAAACCACCAACCAGCTTACATTAGCTGTACTCCGAAATGCCATCAGCATTTTAAAAAAAAGTCTAGTTTTCTGTTCTAAGCAATAATAATTGCAAATTCACACTGAATAAAAGTTTGTTCCTGACATTTAAGGGTGTGAAGAGGATGAGGAGCAGGAGCATGGGAGCAGAGTGTCTGAGGGAGGGGGCTGGGAGAAAGGGAGGCCTTGTCTGAGACCACCTCAGAGGCGCAGGGGGTGGGTAAGGCAAAAAGAATCAAACCGGTCCTGCGAAGAAGCCTGGGAGCTGTGATTTTGGGAAGCAGGAAAGACTCTGAATGTGGCTATGAGGAAAAGAGTCTTCGTAACCCAAAACCAGAGTCACAGCTGGAATCTAGGTACAGAAGACTAACTTCCCTCAAGGATCAGCTGAGATCCCGATAAGATGACGGTGGCCCAGAGAGACAGCCTTAAGAAGGATAAAGTGGGGGTCTGCAACCAAGAAGTGGACCCGAATCTGCCTCCCTGCCTATAATTTGTAGAAATTCCACTAACATTTGTGTCGTGCTTTATAAAGACCATGCTTTCATAGACAGACACAGTGAATTTCATCTATTTTTTTTTTTGAGACGGCGTCTTGCTCTGTTGGCCAGGCTGGGGTACAGTGGCACAGTCTTGGCTCACTGCAACCTCTGCCTCCCAGGTCCAAGCGATTCTCCTGCCTCAGCCTCTTCAGTTGGGACCACAGGCGTGCAGCATCACATCCGGCTAATTTTTGTATTTTTAGTAGAGATGGGGTTTCAACATGTTGGTCAGGCTGGTCTTGAACTCCTGGATCAAGCGATCCGCCCACCCTGGCCTCCCAAAGTGCTGGGATTACTGGTGTGAGCCACTGCGCCTGGCCTCTCTTTTTTATTTTAGAGATGGGGTCTCACTCTGTTGTCCAGGCTGGAGTATGGTGGTGTAATCATAGCTCACTGCAGGCTCGACCTCCTCGGTTCAAGAGATCCTCCTGCCTCAGCCTCCTGAGTAGCTGGGACTATAGGTGTGTGTCACCACACCCAGTTAATTTTTAAAACATTTTTTGTAGAGGTGGGCTCTCACTATATTGACCAGATTGGTCTCCAACTCCTGGCCTCAAGCGATCTTCCTGCCTCAGCCTCCCAAAGTGCTGGGATTATAGGTGTGAGCCACCATACCCAGCCGGAAGAAGTGATTTTTGAGGTGAGACCTGAATGTTAAGAAGAAACCATGTGAAGATATGGGACAGAATGTTCTGGAAGCCCTAAGGAGGGGATGAGCTTACTTCATTCAAGGAACCAAGAGCAGAGTGTGTTGAGAGGGGGGAGTGTAAGCTCTGGGCTCAGAGGTAGGCCCCACCAGAGCGCAGAGAATCCAGGGTGAGATGTTTGCATGGAAGCCACTGAAGAGTTTAACCAACAGATGACATGATCTGCTTGGAGTTTTAAAGCAACTCCCCTGGCTGCTGGTTGAAGGACTGCAGGGGAGACAGGTGGGAGCAGTTCACATTCCGTTCATCAGGACCTAGAAAGCTCTCACCCCAATTCTGAGGCAACAGTGGCTCCCAGACCCACAAACCTGAGAAGTACAGAGGCCGTGGTAGTCTCCAAACAGAGTGAGGGCTTGGGACACCAGGGAAACTGGGAGCATTTCTGCAGAACTGACTTTTTGTTTGTTAAGCTTTGTCACGCCTAAGGAAAAGCTAAACGTCTGTTTTTCTGTTCTCGATTTTTTCCTTTTTCTTTAATGACTTTTCTCTTGAATGACTGAATTTTCTGCTTGCCATTTTACAACAGACATAGAAAAGATCTGGCCACAAGCCTCACCATCTGAATCCTTGCACTAACCTACAGAGGTCTGCACAACCTTCCCTGAGGGCAAGGAGGAGGGTGGCTGCTTACCTCGGCGCAGAGTATGCGGGCTGGGCCCCGCAGCACTGTGAGGTGGGCCAAGGGAGAGCTGGTGGGAGCCGGCAGCTGCCTGGGCCTGGTTTTGGCCAGAGGCTATCTGACTGTTGTTTCTCCCTGGTGCTGGCGCAGCTGCAGATGCAGGATCCTTGGGTTTGGGAGGACTAAGAGGAGTAAAAGTCCAGTTAGACGTCAGACAATCCCAGCTAGAAAATCTGAACATACTGCACATAAAACATAAGACTCCAAGCAGAGTTTTCACTTCGGCAGGAAGGAAAAGGATCTGAAATTCTAACTAGCTCGCACTGGGCTTATAAAGTTAGTGTTTACTTGGTGCCATATAAAGAGCTAATGTATACTTGGTGTCATTTTTTTTTTTTAAGAGATGGGATCTTGCTATGTTGCCCAGGTTGGTCTCAAATTTCCAGACTCAAGCAATCCTCCTGCCTCAGCATCCTCAGTAGCTGCGACTATAGGACTATTTATTTTATGAGATTCATTGCATCAGACTGGACTCCAGCGACTCTGCCACTCCAGTATCATGAGAGAGATCATTTCAAAGCAACCAATGCGGCGTTTTCAGCTCTACTGTGTTTGGACTTAAATTGGGCAGTACTATTAATATCATGAAAGGGCTTTTAGATGTTGACATATATACTATACAAAACTAAGCAAAAGCCACGGTAAAATAAGACTCTAAATGATAAAGGGCTTATTATTATCAATAACTTGAACTGAAGGAGAACTCAGAGGCTAAATGACTACTCGAAGTCCAGAGTTGGTAGCAGCAGGATAGAGATCAGAACTCAGGCTTCCTGTTTCCTGGCCCAGAACTTTTTATATCAAACATTAAAGCTCCATTTTGTCAAGGTCACCAAAGAGTGAATAACATTAGTGTAATGTACATTAAAATACCTACAGAATACAGTATAAAACAACAAAGAGCAGGCCGGGCACAATGACTCATGCCTATAATGCCAGTACTTTGGGAGGCTGAGGCGGGTGGATCACTTGAGGTCAGGAGTTCGAGACCAGCCTGGCCAACATGGTGAAACCCCGTCTCTACTAAAAATGCAAATATTAGCCAGGTGTGGTGGCTCACGCCTGTAGTCCCAGCTACTCTAGAGGCTGAGGTGGGAGAATCACTTGAACCCAGGAGGTGGAGGTTGCCGTGAGTCAAGATCATGCCACTGCACTCCAGCCTAGGGGACAGAGCGAGATCCTGTCTCAAAAAAAAAAAGCAAAATGACTGACATTCCATTTGTCCTTCTGCGTTAAGGCTAATTATTGTCTTAAACAATACATTTAGCCTTGATTAAACAAATTGAATGTCACAAGGAAATGAAAATACGTAAATTGGCTGGGCGTGGTGGCTCATGCCTGTAATCCCAGCACTTTGGCAGGCGGAGGACGGAGGATTGCTTGAGACCAGGATTCAAGACCAGCCTGGGCAACACAGTGAGACCTTGTTACGACAAAAAATTTTAAAAATTAGCAGGGCATGGGGGTGCACGAGTATAGTCCCAGCTGGGAGGCTGAGGTGGGAACGTTGCTTGAGCCTGGGACATTAAAAGGCTGTAGTGAGCCATGATCACGCCACTGCCCTCCAGTGTGGGTGACAGAGCAAGACCCTGTCTGAAAAATAAAACAAGACAAAAAACAGGCCGGGGCAGTAGCTCACACCTGTAATCCCAGCACTTTGGGAGGCCAAGGCGGGTGGATCACTTGAGGTCAGGAGATCGCGACCAGCCTGGCAAACATGGTGAAACCCCATCTCTACTGAAAACACAAAAATTAGCCGGGCATTGTGGTGCATGCCTGTAATTCCAGCTACTCCGGAGGCTGAGGCAGGAGAATCATTTGAACCCAGGAGGCGGAGGTTGCAGTGAGCCGAGACTACACTACTGCTTTCCAGCCTGGGCAACAGAGTGAGACTTCGTCTCAAAAAAATAAATAAATAAAAATAAAAAACAAAAACAAGAAAAAGAAAATAAGTGAATTCGCTTAGACTTTTTCCCTTCAAACAAAACAATTTAAACCAAAACAAGTATACACATGGGGTACAATTATTGACAAGCTAACGTGGAGCCTATGACATGCATGGAAAGCCCTATGAAGTCTGAAGCCTTAATTTTTTTTAATGCCAAAGTAAACTTTCCCAAGGTGAGGAAAATGGAATTCAGGAATGCACAAAGCATTCAGCATTCAGTTTAAATGGTGAAACAAGATTCCTATCTCATGAGCAGCTTCACACACAACGAGGCTCTCCCTTGCTCATCCCAAGGACGATGAGAAAGGAGTTCCTCCAAGGCAAATTCATCACTCTGCGTGGGAAATAAATGTGTGGATAAACGGCCTGTCCTTGTTCTGTGTACATTTATTTTACTTCGTATGTGGTCATTCGGTGTGTTGTGGATGGCCAGTGCAGAACACAGGACAACAAAAATTTTGGCGCACGTGTGCAGAGCTAAGCAGCGGTCAGTTCCAAACCACAAGGGATGCCACCTGAAGTAGCCTCTGGTGGTTATCTGCCTGGATCAGTGTGGAGAACTGAATTAATGTCAATTAAATAAAAATCTCAAGTTCTGGCCGGGTGCAGTGGCTCACACCTGTTATCCCAGCATTTTGGGAGGCTGAGGCAGGTGGATCACCTGAGGTCAGGAGTTTGAGACCAGCCTGACCAACATGGTGAAACCCTGTCTCTACTAAAAATACAAAAAAATTAGCCAGGCATGGTGGTGTGTGCCTGTAATCCCAGCTACTTGGGAGGCTGAGGCAAGAGAATCACTTGAACCCAGGAGGCAGAGGTTGCAGTGAGCCGAGATCGTCCCACTGCGTTCCAGCCTAGGCGACAGAGTGGGACTCTGTCTCAAAACAAAAACAAAAACAAAAACAAAAACAAAAACAAAAACAAAACTCAGGTTCAAGGTGCCTTTTCTTAAAAGTTGCTATCCATTTGCAGCCCACTCCAGGTGGCTAATCCAAAGGTTAAGCAACTAAAAGAGACTTTTAAGAAAATCTACCAGGCAGGCATGGTGGCTCACGCCTGTAATTCCACTATTTTTGAAGGCTGAGGCAGGAAGATCACTTGAGGCCAGGAGTTCGAGATCAGCCTGGGCAACCTAGGGCATCTATGTTTACCCCATCTTTACAAAAAAATTTAAAAAATTAGCTGGGCATGGTGACAAGCACCTGTAATCCCAGCTACTTGGCAGGCTTAGGTAGGAGGATTGCTTGGGCCTAGGAGGCAGAGGGTGCAGTGAGCTACGATCATGCCACTGCACTCCAGCCTGGGCAACAGAGCAAGACGCAGTCTCAGAAAAAAAAAGAAAAGAAAAGAAAAGAAAAGAAAAGAAAAAAGAAAAGCTACCATCTTATTTTCCACCTTGGACTCATGGATCAACTGCCCTACAAGACTGAAATCTGGGGGTGTGGAGTGAAGTCTCAGTCACCTCACGTGCCCAGCACAGTGGCCAGCACATATCAGTGACTTGGTCAATCTGTCCGACTGAATCAATCAATGAATGAGTGAATAAATACCAGGAATACTAAAATTTAACTAACTTGCCACATTCAAAAGCTTCCTGGTTAGCACACTGGATGACAACGAACAGATAGTACATAAATGCTGACAGTGTACATCAAACAGGTGACAGAGGCTTAACACACTATGAGACACTCACTGCCTTCCGGTTTCCAGCACCAAAGCAGTGTGGCAAAGAACGCAAACCAATGTTGCTTTCTTTGGAAAACATAAAAAGAAGCAAGCCATTCATAGTCTTTTTTTCCGTCTTTTGCCAACCAGAGGAGTGAAAGCAAATCTGTTCACTCCATGCTGGAGCAGTTCTTTGGGCCGTGGATGCCGTGCCCAAAGGCCACCACCTGCAAGTAGGTTGGGGCGTCCAGCCTCCACTGCCAGCAGAAGTCGGCCTCCTTACCTGCCGTCACCTGGGCTCGGCCCCTGCTCCAGTATGCCTGCAGAGGAGGGGACAGTCCCACCCCCAGAGCTGCTTTCAGCCCTAGAGCTCTGGGGAGGGGGCTCTGGGCCAGCGGGCGCCACGGTGCTGCCATCTGTAGGTGGGAGTGGCGGCTGGAAAGCAGGGGATATGTGCTTTCTATTTAGAGTGCCACCCCGCCGGTGGGCCTGGAAGTCCATAAGCTTCACACCAAAGCTACACAGAGAGAAGAAACAGTCAACACACCATGCGAGCAGACTACTGAGACAGAAGCCCATCGGTCCACATGAGTTAAAACCACACATGTGGACAGCCACCCAAGTTGCCCAGCATGCATGAAGCGGCAAGAACCAGACTAATGGCCACCCCTGATACCAAGGCAAGCAACTCCACTTGGCTTTGAGCCCGAGCAAAGCCAATGACCCTGGTACTGTTCAAAGTCTTTGATCAATTTGGATGTGAGCAGCTAGAAGCAAACAGGCAGGCCTCATCTTGAATGACACCATGTTACTGTGTTTATCCCCATACTTCCTCTGCTTTTTTTTTCCCCCCCTTTAGATACGAGGTCTCACTCCACCACCCAGGCTGGAGTGCTTGGCACTCCAGCGGAGCAATCATAGCTCACTACAGTGTCAAACTCCTGGGCTCAAACTATCCTCCAGCCTCAGCCTCTGGAGCAGCTTGGACTACTGGCACACATCACCATACTGGGATATTAAAAATTTTTTTTTTTTTTTTAAACGGAGTCTTGCTCTGTCACCCAGGTTGGAGTGCAGTGGCGCGATCTCGGCTCACTGCAAGCTCCGCCTCCCGGGTTCATGCCATTCTCCTGCCTCAGTCTCCCGAGTAGCTGGGACTACAGGCGCCCACCACCACATCCGGCTAATTTTTTGTATTTTTTAGTAGAGATGGGGTTTCACCGTATTAGCCAGCATGGTCTCGATCTCCTCACCTTGTGATCTGCCCGCCTCGGCCTCCCAAAGTGCTGGGATTACAGGCGTGGGCCACCGCACCCAGCCAAAAAAAAAAAAAAATTTTTTTTTAGAGACGGGGTCTCACTACATTGCCCAGGCTCTCAAACTCCTGGCCTCAAGTAATCCTCCTGCCTTGGTCTCTCAAAGTGCTGGGATTACAGGCGTGGGCCACCGCACCCAGCCAAAAAAAAAAAAAAATTTTTTTTTAGAGACGGGGTCTCACTACATTGCCCAGGCTCTCAAACTCCTGGCCTCAAGTAATCCTCCTGCCTTGGTCTCTCAAAGTGCTGGGATTACAGGCATAAGTCACCACGTCTGGCCCATTTCCATACTTCCTAGCTCCCATCTTAAATCTGTTTTTGGGGAATGAAACAGAAGTCAAGTCCAGAAGGCCTACCAATGGTAGTATAAGGTTATCACACCACACTGCCTCTTAACTGAGATGAGATGTAGAAACAACCCTATGTGCATATGCAAACCCTACATCTGAAAGACACAGAAGGCTGGAAAAGCTGGGCACGGGGGCTCACACCTGTAATCCTAGCACTTTGGGAGGACAAGGCGGGAGGATCGCTTTAGCTTGGAAATTCAAGACCAGCCTGGGAAACACTGTGAGGCCCTGTCTCTACAAAAAACTTTTTTTAGAAAATCAGCTGGGTGAGGTGGTGTGTGCCTGTCAAGTGGCTGAGGTGGGAGAGCTGCTTACGCCCAGGAGGTCAAGGCTGCTGTGAGCCATGATCATACCACTGCACTCCAGCCTGGGCACATAACCCTGTCTCAAAAAAACAAAAAACAAAAAGACTGGAAAAAACTGTTGCTTTGAGGAAGGGAATGGTGGCTGGATGCGGCTGGAGGATAGGGTGGAAGGAAGGCTGACTTTTCACTTAAGCCCATTGATCTATGAACTTAGCAACTTTTTCTTTCAGTTCAGAAAGTAAAAAGATACCTGGCTTCCTGAGCCTGTGCTTACTGGCTCAGCTGGCAGGGAGAATACACAAGGCAGGTAACTGAGAATTGTCTGCCATGTGCTAACTAGACTCATGCACTGTTTTCTGTAACTTAAAATATATGAAAGCTAATTTTGTTACGGGCAGAGTTTGTCATCAGGAAATACTACTGAATGTATGAACGAGGGTTCAGAGAGGTAATATGTCACATAGAATAAATGTGGATTTTGGACGGACAGAATACGGACAGAATAATGCATTCTCCTTTGCTAGGGGTAAAAAGCGCAAAACAAAGAACAAGAAACAAATAAACAGCACACCTCACTATAAGACTGAGCAATTAAAATAAGAGTTTGTTACTTTGTTTTAATGTAAAACTATTTCTAGTAATATTGTTTCATATACCAAGACAAACATGTTACTTCCAACAGGCCTCTTAACTGTTAGCATTCCTAGTGAGTACAGTGGCATTTCATCACACACATGGGACAGGTTGGCATCTAAAGGTACAAATCACAAATAGTTTTAATTACCCTTGAAAATCCCATGAATTGCTCATAGAAAAGAGTATATAGAGACACACTGCTTCTCACTAAGTTCAATACTGCCATTTTTTTTTCTTCTAGAAGTGGCAAATACTGAGGTTTTCCCCACTGAACATCAAATTCAGTGGTTGGCTTCCATTGTGGGGCCATTATTACACCAGAAATACATCTCCTTAAATACCAAATCACTCAACTCACTGTGCCAGGTGGGTGTTCTCACACTCCATTCTGGACAAAAGTCCACACTATCAAATTGACTTTCCTTTCTCTTTCCCCCCACTCAAGGACATTTAGGTCAATTTTAACATGTGTATGATGCCGTCCCACTGCAGGGTTTACCAAGTACACCACCAAGTTAAGCTGGAATACACGTGGAAGAAAGGTTAACCGACAAGCTTTACACACTGACTTTATGGGGAGATCAGTGCTTGGAATGACCTACAGCAGAATTACAGAAACTATCTGGATGCCATCAGCCACAGGTGGATGGGGACCACTCTCAAATCCCAAGTCCACTGAGCGATACCAGACACCATGGGTCTAACGACATATTTACTGCTGGTTTGGAAGTGAATGGTCGAATCATACCTTTCCTTCTTCATCAAGTCTCCTTCCATCACCGCCATGCTAGCAGGCCGCTTCCTCTCCAGGGTCCCCGAGTCAGAGTCGTTTCCAGTGTGGGAAGAGTGATTAGAATTCGGGGTGGTGAGAGGTACAAATGCTTCCGATACATTAAATTCCACCTCTGCAAGAGGAAAAATAAACAAGTGCATGAGACACGGAGCACAGCAGGCGAGGGAGCTCTAGGACACCCCTCATTGGAACGGGGACCTCATTCTTCAGTCCACAGTCCCCACTATTTCAAAATGGAAGCTCAGGCACTCATGTGGCAAGAATGGTCCATCAAACCAGTGGGAAGTAACATAAGAGGACAAGACAGGGGAAGAAGTATGGGTCAGAATATAAGTTACACAACTTTTGTGCTTTCTCCTTTGTGGAAAAAAAAAATACAAATCTAGAATGCAGAAGACGATGATGAACACAGATCACTTATTTAAATCATTCAAAGAGATATTTAGCTGGGCATGGTGGCTCACGACTGCAATCCCAGCACTTTGGGAGGCTGAGGCGGGCGGATCACTTGAGGTCAGGAGTTGAAGACCAGCCTGGCCAAGAAAGTGAAACCCCATCTCTACTAAAAATACAAAAAATTAGCTGGGCGTGGTGATGTATGCCTGTAATCCCAGCTACTCAGGAGGCTGAGGCAGGAGAACTGCTTGAACTTGGGAGGCAGAGGTTGCAGTGGGCCGAGATCTTGCCACTGCACCCCAGCCTGGGTGACAGAGCGAGACTCCGTCTCAAAAAAAAAAAAAACAAAAACAGATATTTATACTTTGATATAAAATAGAAATACAAGGCAACATCAAGTTAATGACATCGAAGGCACCCTCCCAAGGAAATCTCAACTGCACAACCTCCTACTACGCCCCAATCCAGCAGGAAGCAGTTAGAGCGGTCGTCAGCCAACCTCCCCAACAGCACTTGGGTTTTCCTGTTGAGAGGGGGGACTGAGACAGGACTAGCTGGATTTCCTAGGCCGACTAAGAATCCCTAAGCCTAGCTGGGAAGGTGACCGCATCTACCTTTAAACATGGGGCTTGTAACTTAGCTCACACCCGACCAATCAGGTAGTAAAGAGAGCTCACTAAAATTTGCTAATTAAGCAAAAACAGGAGGTAAAGAAATAGCCAATCATCTATTGCCTGAGAGCACAGTGGGAGGGACAATGATGAGGATATGAACATTACTGGCATTCGAGCCAGCAACGGCTATCCTCTTTGGGTCTCCTCCCTTTGTATGGGAGCTCTGTTTTCACTCTATTAAATCTTGCAACTGCAGGAAAAAAAAAAAAAAAAAGGCAACATCAAGTTTATACTGCCTCTAGCAGTTTTTGCAAGACTCATTTCCTCAAAGGAAATCTTGAGCAGAATGCTAGCCTTCATTCATCCATCCCATCTTCCAGGAGCAACATACAAGAATGAGGCGTGACTCTTGATGGTGACAAAACAGTGGTGAAGAAAAGATGGGTATCGTGGGGCTTGCACCCCACGGGACATGGCAGCAGGGCTGCTCTGGGGGAAGTAGGTGTGGGGGATCCAGAGTTCTAACACTTGCCTGGCCAGCATCCCCAAAGGGGGCCATGGGAACCTCTGTGGATCTCAGGACTGCAACAAACCTAGTTTGAAAATCTATTACCAACAGGATGAAATACTAATTTCCTGACACAGCGAACTCAGGCCTTCACTAACTGGCCCTGATCAACCTTTTCTGCTTTATCTCCTACCTATGGGCAAATCCATAATCTAGCAAGAGAAACAAAAAGCCCTCTTCCAAGTGAAAACCGCCTGCATATTCAACATTGCCTCTTCTAAAAACTAATCCCTGGCTCCCTTTTCCCAGCACCTGAGTTTGTCAAATCTTTCTCTATCCACCTATCTTCTAATTTACCATGTGTTAGAATTTATCTGTTCACGTGGCTGTCTTCTCCAGTGGCCAGAGCTCCCCCAGGGAAGGCAGCATGCTTCACCAGCAAACATATGGCACCTAGTGAGTATTCAACATACACTGACTGGCTATGTTTTAGTGAAACTGAGTGAAAGACAATAC